TGATGAGGGCGTCGGGCCGGGACTGCTCCTTCCTCCAGGCCGGGACGAAGACGGTGACGTCTCGGTGACCCCGCTCCAGAAACCAGTCCACAGCCAACTGGATGCCTTGGCAGGAAAACACCTCCTTGTTCCCGTGACTGGACACAGAAGGGAGCATTTGTTGGTGTCACCATCCCATTCGATGTCTATATTTGATATAATACCCATTTCTTTTCTTCCAATTCAAAATAATACGAATTCTTAACCGATTTCAGCTTTGAAATGCTGTTTTGAGAGGGTGCTGCCACACCTGAAGAGCACCGATGGTTAAAGAAGCCCGGATAAAAAAAAATTGAAAAAGGGTGTAACGTTTAATGCCACCAGCAGCAGAATCATCCAAGTCCTTCTGGCTGCAGACCACAGGAAGCCACGGATGGATGTCTGATTCCGCCCACATCCAAGTCGGCCATTTTTATTAGGTCACCAATAGGAAGATCCCAGGCAAGAAAATCGCTTCATGGCAATATAGACATTAATTTAAAAATGGTGAAATTAATCTTCCAAGGACTGAATTAAACTCTATCCATAATATTATGTTAAAATAGTGGATGTTATATAGGTTTGTACAATAAGTCCAAACAAGTTTAACCAAAAAATATTTATTTCTCACAATTATGAAGGGTGGAGGGTTAGGGTTAGGGTTAGGTTCAGGGTTAGGTTTAGGTTTAGGGTTAGGGTTAGGGTTAGGGTCAGGGTTAGGGTCAGGGTCAGTGTCAGGACATTGTTTGTCTTATGATTTCGTATAGACAGTAAAGTTTCCTTTCCACCTCAGATAGCTGCTAGTCACATGACCTAATCAAAATGGCCGACTTGGATATGTGGGAGGAGTTAGACATCCAACCGAGGCTCCTACAGACTGCAGCCAGAGGCTAATCGGATCACGGGTCTCATCTCATTTGTGTGTCCATGTGATTGTTACACATGGTAAATAATACCAACCTGTTAAGAATCGGGTGGAAATGCCTTCAAATCTGATAAATCCCTTTGAATAAATCTACAGCAGAGCCTGTTACAGATGGTAAATAATAACAACCTGTTAGCTCCTTTTACAGGGCGCTAAGCTAACTTCGGTTAACCTCAGTTAGCTTAGTTGCTAAACTCACGAGGTTTAGCACAATAACAAGCCAGTTTAGGGTCAGGAATCAGGTGGAAATGGCATCAAATCTGATAAATCCCTTTGAATATGTCTACAGCAGAGCTTGCTATGGTAAATAATAACAACCTGTTAGCTCCTTTTACAGGGCGCTAAGCTAACCTCAGTGAGGTTTAACACTGAGCTTTAACACAATTACAAGCCAGTTTAGGGTCAGGAATCAGGTGGAAATGGCATCAAATTCTGCTAAATCCCTTTGAATACGAGCCTCACCTCATGGCGACGTTGCTCCCATCCAGGA